CATATGTGGAGGTCCAAAGTGCTCCAATGGGAGGGGGTGGTAGCATGTCTCAGCTAACGTGTGCAAATATACGCACCCACTATCCGATGCGCTGTTCTCCTCTCATTCCTCCAGTGGGAACATGGCTCTTCTTGTTTAATATTATTGTAAAATCATCACGAAGTTTCAATGGAGAAGTCTGCCTCTACCTCCTCATAGCCTTATGTGACTCCCACTGTCCCTGGGAGGGGGTGGGTATCAGAGTAGCAGAATGGTTAGACTAACCTGCCATTCATAGGTCAAGGAACAGTACTCAAAGCTATTTTAAGTCTCACAGTATCATCTGGCAGGCAGAGGTAGCATTTACCGTGGAACACTATGGAGGAGTAGATATTTGTAAGGTGTCAGTACAAGTGCTTCACATGGATTAGCCTGTCAGGTTGCATGGCCTCATCATCCTCCTGATAGTCACGTGACTCCTGAGATTCCTTTGGTAGGCTGGCCTGGGAGCCCCAAAAAAGAGCTGGGTCTTCCCTGGAGACACTGTGCACAGTTGAGGGGTCAGTGTTTTCAGCTGTGAAAGGAGTGAGGGATGTGAATATCCCAAGTGTAGATGACGCTGTTGCCTCCTGGCATCAGAATGTAGTAAAGCTCCAGAGAGAGGAGAACAAAGAGCCGTGCACATCATCACTTAGCTGTCCCTAATCATATAACAAAATGCCCCGCACAACTACAAGATGAAGAACCTGCCACCTTGAGTCAGTTACCATGTGGCGAACATCCCAAGCTAAGACCCCTCACTACTTTCAAAAGGCAAGCAGGGTCTTCTAGACCCAACCAGATTTCTGTCAACCGGGAGTATACCACATAAACCTCAAGACTAACAAAACCAGGCATGCACCAGAGATAAGCAACACAGAAAAGAGGACGTGCATAGGAATTGTAGGTAGTGGATGGAAGATGAGTTTTTTATTTAGTGCTGGGCAACCTGACCAAGTTTGTCATCGTTCCAACCCTCAGTTTCCTCGTCAGAAAAATAAAAGTGATGGAGATGCTCTGGTGTGGGAAATATTTGACACATGGGTGTGGCCTCCACAGAGGACTCAGCCCTTCTGCTGTCATTTCTAAAAACATTTACATCATTGCTCCTCAAAGGAGGATGAATCAAATCAGATCAAATATTGTAGCGGTCTTTACTCCAAAGAAAAGTTTGAGAATTAACCTATCCAGCCAACAAGGGAAGCCTGTGTCCATCCTCTAATTGCTAAAGTCCATTGAAGATATAGTTTGAGCATCCTCAATCCAAAAAGCCAAAACACTCCAAAATCTGAATCAATCTGATCGTCCACGTGACAGCACAGGTGGAACATTTCACGCTTAATGTCACATGACAAATCACAGCCAAAACAGCAAGATGCTTTATAAAAGATGTCCTACAGGCATTGCATAGAAGGTATATATGAAGCATAAATGAATGTAGATTTGGGTTCCCTCCCTACATTATAATTCACAAATATTCTACGGTCTGAAATTTCAGATACCTCTGATCCCAAGCATTTTAGATAAAAGATACTGAGCCTACAGTCCTTTTTACTTCATCTTTTGGTGGTTTTCGAATGCCCTCATCTCTTGCCCATGGACCAGATAGATCAGAACTCCTTTTATGCCTTTTATGGAAGCCAGACTAAGTTGAGTAGCTGCCAATCTTCTTCCCCCAAAGAGAAAGAGCAGAGACAGGCTGCTAGATCTTGCTGATGCCGACGCTCAGAAGGCCATCCTCAGTGTCTAATTCTCCGTAAGCAGCTTAATTTTATCTCTCCCGACACCTCCTCATGGTGCCTGGAGGAGCTGAGCAGCTGGTAGAGAATGAGTGTCCAAGAGACTGTGCCCTTCTCTGTCTTCTTTTGACCCCTGCTTCATGAGCTCTGCACCTTGAGCTCTGCTTCTTAGTAATCCTGCCAGCCTGGGTTGTTTTGATAGTTTACCCCTTTAAATGAACATCCCATGCAGAGAGATCCAGGAGCAATAGGAGAAAGAGAAGCGCCCAGATGAGCAAAGGAGGCCAAGCTGGACCTGGTATTGCCAAGATCCATGAAGCCTAAATATACTCGGCAGGCAGGTCACAGTTGCTACTTCTCTGTCTCCAGAGCCGTCTCCTTTGTCCAATGCAAATACTTGCCAGAACCAAGTATTGCTGTTGGGCTCATGAATCTGGACCAAGATGTCAAGTCTAGAAAGCCTTCTCAAGCAAGGAAGTTTTGAAAGGGGATTGAGGAGGGGAGAGACACAGTACAGAGGATCAAGGACTGCAGTGCAGAGTTTTAGGTCCTGTCTGAGAATCTGTCCACTGCTCAGCTGCTAACACTGGGATCATTCCCAGAGGTTATGAAATTTGTTTTCCAGGAAAAAACAAAAATCTAGTATGTGTGTAGTATGTGTGTGTTGCATAAAATTTCTAAATTTTGATGCAGAGGGAAGTCTTATAGTAAAATGGTAGGGAAGAGGGGCATCCTCAGACCATCAGCTAAGCTGTCTGGGTCTCTTTATTGGCTCGTTTACCATTTCTGGCAAAATGGTACTCTCAGAGACCTTGAATATCAGTATCTAGAACAAATTGTTTACCAATTACTTAAAAAAATAAAAATACCCAGGCATAGTGGCATATGCCTGTAATCTTGCACTTGGAAGGCAGAGGCAGGCAGATCTCTGAGTTCAAGACCAGCCTGGTCTACATAGGGAGTTCCAGGACAGCCAGGGCCGCAAAGTGAGACCCTGTCTTGGAAGGAAAAAATATTAATTAACTAATTAATTGAATTTAAAAAAAAATAAAATAAAAGCTTGTATGTGAAAGATCCGTTTCTAACCAGGCTGCTTGACTGTTATTGTATTCATATTGCAGCCTCCTTCAAATGTCCCCCACCCAGAATGACCTTGACCACAGTTTAATATAAGAATTCCAGGAAATTGCTGGGGGGAGGGTTGCTAACAGAGGGGATGGGCAGATTGGCGGGGTGGATAAGGCATTCATAAAGAAGCAGCTGAGCCCTCCAGAGACCTGGTTATCATAATTCCTCACAGCATGCTCCCTGAAAACTCTCCTGACCTTGCAAAGCCCTCAGACTCTCTGCTTCGGTCTCTTTGCCTGGAAGTGTGAGGTGGCTCTGCCCATCTGCCCAGGTTATAGTGAGAATAACAGAGGTCGGGAAGGCACTTTGGAAAACAAAGAGTATTCTAGCAACGTGAGCTTTTTTCCACTCTGAGGCAGGAGGACATCTGTTTGGACTGTAGGGACCTTGCCCGTTATTAGCCAGATTAAACAGGCACTTCTTCTGCTTGGCATGGCCACAGCTGCCTGCCTGCACCTGGACTGCACAGGGGGTCTTCGAGGGAGGTGGGCTTGCAGCTTACACAGCATCCCCAGGGGAGGGGAGGTTGGCACCCAGGGCCAGCTCTACCATCACCAGCTCCAGTCCCCATGGACAGGTATAGAGATGCTCTTGAAGCAAGTGGCTCTGTATTGAATCCTGGGTCATTCACCACCAAGGGAGCTTTGAGACTACCTTGAGAATTGATAGTTAGCGATTTAACATTTTTATTCTTCAGCTCTTTTCCCTCTCATTCAAGAAGGAATGAGAGATGACTTCACCCCAGTTTCGAGGGCACAACCAGACAGTCTAGGGCCATAAAGGAAATGCTCAGGACCCGGATTTGCTTGACTTGGCAGCTCTGCATTCTGAATCTTTTCTGTGTCGCTCAGAGCATCTGCTGGACCATGTTTCATCCACTTCCTATATTGTTCTATAAGGGAGGGGACAGTATGAAAAGCTATGATCATAACAGAAAGGGACCCTTGTGGGTAAAAAAGCTGAACTCAAATCAGAGCTACCATCAAGAAGAGAGACCCCTAAAGGTACTTATGGAGCTGGGTATGTGTCCCCAATGGAGGATAAGCATCGGTAATGAGAGAGATTGAAGATATGGCATTTGTGCTGCCGCAGAGTGCACACATGGCAAACAAGAAAACTAACAAATATCCTCAAGTCATAGACTGAGGTGAGTGGCAGGAGGGAATTGTACAGGGCGCTGTGAGAGGTAATACTGGGATTACAGGATCCTGCTTAGGGTGAAGGAGGTCAGGGCAGGCCTTCCCGAGGAGGATGAGAGTGTCAGGGCAGGCCTCCCTGAGAAAGATAAGAATGTCAGGGCAGGCTTCCCTGAGGAGAGTGAGAGGGGTCAGGAAAGGCCTCCCTGAGAAGACGCCATTTGAGTAGAGACACCATCCTTGCTGGAAAAGAAGTAGAGAAAGGGTTCAGAGGACCAACCATGGTATGTCTGAGGAAAAATGGGTGACCAGTGTGGCTGTAGGGTAGTAGATGAAGGTATGAGGTTATGGTAAAGACAAGGAAAGTGTGTGTGTGTGTGTGTGTGTGTGTGTGTGTGTGTGTGTGTGTGTG